TTCTGCGGGGGAGAGGTTGGAGTGGGTGAGAGGGGTGGAGAGGTTGAGGCGATTGATGTCTCGACTGCAGTTGGAGATGAAGAGGTCGAGGGAGGGTAGGAGGCCTTGGGGTGGTGTCCAGGAGGAGGGGGTGTGTTGGAAGCGGGAGAAGGGGTCAGTAGAGGGAGGGTTAGGTTCACGGTTAAAGAAGTAAGCGTGGAGGCGGAGGCCGCGGAAAATCTGCTCTATGTCCAAGCGTGAGCGGTATTCGTTGATCTGTGGGTGGAGGGGGACAAAGGTGAGCCCTTTACTGAGGACTGACCGTTCGTCCTCAGTAAGGGATAGGTCTGGTGGGATGGTGAAGACTCGGCAGGGCTGGGTGCTGCTGTCTCCTCTGGAGCTGCTGGCTGTGGAGGCTGTGGGCGGAGTTACGTTGGTGTCGTCGGTGGGCGGAGTTGCGTCGTCGGTGGGCGGATTTGTGCCGGTGTCGGCTGTACTTTTAACATAGTCCTTCACCAGAGCATAGAAAATAGCAGCAGGAATAGGCCATTCGGCCCTTCAAGCCTGCTCTGCAATTCAATGTGATTGCAGCTGATCATCCTACTCAGTCCCCTATTCCCTGATTATCTCCATATCTTTGATCCTTTTAGCCCTAAGAACTATATCTCACTCTTTGAAAATATTCAATGTTTTGGCCTCAAACACTTTCTGTGACAGAATTCCACAGGGTCACCTCTCTCTGGGTGAAGAAGTTTCTCCTCATCTCAATCGTAAATGGCCTATTCCATTTTCTGAGGCTGTGACCTGTGGTTCTGGACTCCTCATCACAGGCACAATCCTGTGAGAATTTTGTAGGTATAGAACATAGAACATAGAACAGTACAGCACAGTACAGGCCCTTCAGCCCACGATGTTGTGCCGAACTTTTACCCGAAACCTAAGGTCTATCTAACCTCCACCCCTACGTTATACTATCATCCATGTGCCTATCTAATAGCCGCTTAAATGCCCCTAATGAGGCCAACTCCACTACCCTCTCCAGCAATGCATTCCATGCCCCTACCACTCTCTGAGTAAAGAACCTACCTCTGATGTCTCCCCGATATCTACCTCCTTTCACTTTAAAATTATGCCCCCTCATAATAGCTACCTCCACCCTAGGAAAAAGTCTCTGGCTGTCTACTCTATCTATACCACTGATCATTTTGTACACCTCTATCAAGTCACTTCTCATCCTTCATTGTTCTAAAGAGAAAAGCCCTCGCTCTCTCAACCTTTCCTCGTAAGAACTTCCCTCCATTCCAGGCAACATCCTGGTAAATCTCCTCTGCACCTTTTCCAAAGCTTCCACATCTTTTCTGTAATGAGGTGACCAGAACTGGACACAATACTCCAGATGTGGCCGAATCAGGCTTTTGTATAGCTGGAGCATAACTTCACGGCTCTTGAACTCAATCCCTCTATTAATGAAAGCTAACACACCATACGCCTTCTTAACAACTCTATCCACCTGGGTGGCAGCTCTCAGGGAACTGTGAACATGAACCCCAAGATCCCTCTGCTCCTCCACACTGCCAAGAATCTTTCCGTTAATCCTGTATTCTGCTTTCAAGTTTGTCCTTCCAAAATGAATCACCTCACACTTTTCAGGGTTAAACTCCATCTGCCGCTTCTCAGCCCAGCTCTGCATTCTATCAATGTCCCTTTGTAACTTTGTATCTATGAAATTTCCCCCTTGCCCATTCTTCTAAACACCAGAGAATAAAATCTCTTGATACTTCAATCCTGTCATCCCGTGGTTATCAAAAGAGTATTAAGACAGATGATCAAAGCCTGGTCAAAGAGGTATATTTTAAGCAATGTCTCAAAGGAGCAAGAAAGTTCGAGGGGCAGGGAGGTGTGGGAGGGAATTCGAGACAGCAGGTTGTGCCGTTTCCCAGAGTTCTACCTGAAGTGGGCTTGTTCTACTGAAAACTAGTGTCAGGTTGATTCAACATCAATTGTCAAAAGGCTCCAAGGTGCCTTGGCCATCACTATTCATAGCTGCAGGTTATGACATGGATGGGTAAGTGTCTGCTGCCACAACAACCTGGACTCTGGAGGAAACTGTAACATCCTAACCATGGCCCTCTGCCAGAACTAGTGAAAATGAAGATCATGGTCATGGCTTGAGACACTATGATGAGGACATTTGGCTTCAATGGGGAACGAAACTGAGTGGAAAGACCTTTTCTGCCATCCAAGGGCTTCATAGCCATTTGAGTGACTATGGAACACAATCATCTGGTCTTCACAATCTCCCTTCAAGCCTTCCATGGCCAGAGCTGCATTGAGAATGTGATGAACTTCCTTATTCCAAAATCAATGTGTGTGACTCAGTTGGATCAGTGGGTTTTGTGATACTCCTCCCAATGTGAGAAATCCTGCCTGTTTTTATGGAATTGTAAAGGGCAAGGCCACTGCACTGGTACAGACAAAATAAGTGTTTACCAGCTTCCTTTATCTCAGCCTGCTGTACCTGGTTTTATTCCTAGGGACCTAGAGACCAAGTGTGAGAGGAGGTGATGTTGAACTTCTGTAAGATACTTGTTAGGTCTTAGCGGAAGTATTGTGTACACTTGTGGGTACCACTTTATAGAAAAGATGTGAATGCTTTGGAGAGAGCGCAGGAATGATTCCGGGGACAACAAACTTCAGTTATGAGGATAGATTGAAGACGTTTTTATGACTCTGCTCAAACAGGAGAAGGACCGAAAGAATATTTGAGAGACATTTTCAAAATCACGAGCCTATCAAACCTATCACCAGATGAAACGGCATTCTCACAACCTTCTGTCTCTATGAGGCTCAATGTGCAGCCTACCTTCACAGGCCTGAGTGTTGCAGAGAGCCTCCTCTGTGTGCAGCCCAATGCAGATATCTCCGCCATTAGCTGGCACTGGGTTGGTACAGGTCCGTGTACGTTGGTAATGTCCACCTCCGCAAGTCGCTGAGCACGAGGACCAGGGAGACCAACAGGACCACGCTCCCTTAACTGGAAAACATGGCCAGGTCAGAGAATGAGAGTTAACAATTAGTCAAGGTAGGCCAAGCGGTAAATCCTCCAGCTTAGTCCTGGCTCACTCACTCAGAAGGTGGTGATCTGCAAGACCCACTCCAGAGAATTGAGCAGGAAATCTAGGCTGACAATCCCAGTGCAGGAATGGGGGTACTGAGGGGGCATGGCACTGTCTGAAGGTCAGAACTGAGGGGGCACAGCACTGTCACAGGGTCAATATTGAGGGGGTGCTGCGCTGTCAGAGGGTCAGTACTGAGGGAGTGCTGCACTGTCGGAGGGTCAGTACTGAGGGAGTGCTGCACTGTCGGAGGGTCAGTACTGAGGGAGTGCTGCACTGTCAGAGGGTCAGTACTGAGGGAGCGCCGCACTGTCGGAGGGTCAGTACTGAGGGAGTGCTGCACTGTCAGAGGGTCAGTACTGAGGGAGTGCCGCACTGTCAGAGGGTCAGTACCGATGGAAGGCTGCACTGTCGGAGGGTCAGTACTGAGGGAGTGCCGCACTGTCGGAGGGTCAGTACTGAGGGAGCGCTGCACCGTCAGAGGGTCAGTACTGAGGGAGCGCAGCACTGTCGGAGGGTCAGTACTGAGGGAGCGCTGCACCGTCAGAGGGTCAGTACTGAGGGAGTGCCGCACTGTCAGAGGGTCAGTACCGATGGAAGGCTGCACTGTCGGAGGGTCAGTACTGAGGGAAGGCTGTACTGTCAGAGGGTAAGTACTGAGGGAGTGCTGTACTGTCAGAGGGTCAGTACTGAGGGAAGGCTGCACCGTCAGAGTGTCAGTGCTGAGGGAGTGCCGCACTGTCAGAGGGTCAGTACCGAGGGAGTGCTGCACTGTCAGAGGGTCAGTACTGAGGGAGTGCCGCACTGTCAGAGGGTCAGTACCGAGGGAAGGCTGCACTGTCGGAGGGTCAGTACTGAGGGAGTGCCGCACTGTCAGAGGGTCAGTACCGAAGGAAGGCTGCACTGTCAGAGGGTCAGTACTGAGGGAGCGCTGCACCGTCAGAGGGTCAGTACTGAGGGCACGCTGCACTGTCAGACGGTCAGTACTGAGGGAGTGCTGCACTGTCAGAGGGTCAGTACCGAGGGAGTGCCGCACTGTCAGAGGGTCAGTACTGAGGGAGCGCTGCACTGTCGGAGGGTCAGTACCGAGGGAGCGCAGCACTATTCGAAGTTCACTACTGAGGAAATGCCACACTGTCAAAGGGTCAGTGGTGAGGGAGTGCTACGTTGCTGGAGGGTAGGCTGGCCATTATTTATTCTTCAAACCATAATGCCAAAAAGAAATACATTATTGGGTCATTTATTATTTGTGGGAGTTTCCTGTGCATCAATTTGCTGTCATGTTTCCCACCAGATATGGCTCCAGTGGTTCAAGGTTTCAAATCTATCTCTCTAGAAATCACCTCTGTGTTTTGTTTACTGTTCCACTACTTTTAATAACTCCCAGATTGTACTGTAGTTATAGTCCAGATCACTGCTTCTCCATCTCAATAAGATTCTAATTTTCTAAGGATTGTGTGGTCTCCTTATTCTCCTTGTCAAAACACACCACCTTACACTTCAAATATGTTTCTAATCAATCAGTTCAAAGCTGGTAAGACACGCTGCTGGAGCAGTTGAGACTTGAACCAAGCCTCCTGGATTAGAGGGTGGAACACTATCACTACACCACAAGAGCTCTCCCACCTTACATTTAACATTGAAAGTAATTTGTCAATTTTAAGCCTCTTTTTCAAGCTTATTAAGCAGTATTTTTTTGGCATTCTTCTCCAATACTAATTACAGTCTTCCACTTGGTGTCAATTGCAAAACTTATAATTCTTACTCCCGAGACAATAAGACCATGACGCCAATGGAAATAGGAACAGGTGCAGGCCATTCAGCCCCTCGAGTTTACTCCGCCATTCAACAGGATCATGGTCGATCTGACATTCCTCACCTGCACTTTTCTGCCCTTTCCCCATAACTCTTGATTCCCCGACTGATCAAAATCTCTCTATCTCAGCCTTAAATATACAGATGGTCTCTGCCTCCTCAGCTCTCGGTGGCAAGGAGTTCCAAAGACTCTCAACTCACGGAGAGAAGAAATTCCTCCTCATCTCAGTCTCAAATCAGTGCCCTCTATTCTGAGACTATGCCCTCTGGTCCTACACTCTCTCATGCATTTACCCTGTCAAGCCCCTTAAGGATCCTATACATTTCAATGAGATCACCACTCATTTGTCTAAACTCCAGGGAGTAGAGTCCCAACCTATTTAACCTTTGCTCATAAGACAGTCCCACCATACCAGGGATCATCCAAATGAACCTTCTCTGAACTGTCTCCAATGAAATAATACCTTTTCTTAAATAAGGGGACCAAAACTGCTCACAGTACTCCAGATGTAGTCTTCCCCAGCACCTTGTACAATTGAGGTAAGACTTTCGTACTCCTATACTCTAATCCCCTCGAAATAAGGGCCAACATTACATAAGCGTTCCTGATTACCTGTGTGCTAGCTTTCTGCATTTCATGCACAAGCATCCACTTTGCATTAGGAACCGAAAGAACTGCAGATGCTGTATAAATCAGAAACAAAAACAGAAGTTACTGGAAAAGCTCAGCAGGTCTGGCAGCATCTGTGAAGAGAAATCAGAGTTAACGTTTCAGTTCTGAAGAAGGGTCACTGGACCCGAAACGTTAACTCTGATTTCTCTTCACAGATGCCTGCAAAGCTTTTCCAGCAACTTCTGTTTTTGTTTCCCACTTATTTCAGGTCTTTTGTTCTCCCTTCTGAGATGAACAACTTCACGTTTTCCCCCCAATTGTACTCCATTTGCCAACCTTTTGCCCACGAATTGCATGATCAGTTACCTGGGCAAGGCTGCTGGTTGCAATCCTCATACTGAATGTCAGCTCCTGTGCAGGGCAAGCCTCCGTTTCTGGGCTCGGGATTGGTGCAGCTCCGTCTCCTGGTCTGAAAACCCATCTCACACTCACGGGAACAGGGTGACCATGGCAACCAGGGGGACCAGCCACCATCAATCCTACGGAGGGACTGCCGGCCGAACTTCAAAAGGTCATCGACGAGGGCTGCGTGAGGCAAGAGAGAGGGGTCACGTAACAAGATGTGTGTCACGTTACCGAGGGAGAAAGCTCAGAGAATTGTTACAATATAGCAGGAAGCCATTCAGCCCATCATATCCGCACTGGCTCTGTGATTGAGCATTTCACTTAATGCCATTTTCCTGCCTTCTCCATAAACAGAAGAGCAGAAGTAGGCCATTTGGCCCATTGAGTCTTCTCTGCCATTCAATTAAATCACGGCTGATCTGATAATCCTCAACTCTATTATCCTGCCTTTGCCCCACAACCTTTGATTCCTTTACTGATTAAAAGTATGTCTATCTCAGCCTTGAATATATTTATGACCCAGCCTCAACGGCCCTCTTCCGTAAAGACTTCTACAAATGCACCAACTCCTGAGGGAGATAACAGTTTCCTTGGCAACCCCGACTCTGAGATTATAACAAGCTCTCCACATCCACCCTGTCACGACCTTCCAGAATCTTATTTGTTTCAATAAAGCCTCCTTTCATTCTTCTAAACTTCAACCTACTCAACCTCTCCTCATAAGACAGTCCCTCCATACCTGGTAAATAAAAACCAAAAGAACTGCGGATGCTGTAAATCAGGAACAAAAACAAAGTTGCTGGAAAAGCTCAGCAGGTCTGGCAACATCTGTGAAGGGAAAAACAGAGTTAACATTTCGGGTCTGGTGATCCTTCCTCAAAACTGAAATGTTAAGTCTGTTTTTCCCTTCACAGATGCTGCCAGACCTGCTGAGCTTCTCCAGCAACTTTGTTTTTGTTCCCTCCATACCTGGGATCGGCCTAGTCAACATTATCTGGAGTGCCTCCAATGTCAGTACATCTTTTCTTAGTCCTTCTATTAGAAGGACCCCCAAGTCCTTCTATTCTGCAGCTTTCCCCATTTAAATAATATTCATCTCTTTTGTCCTTCCTTCCAAAGTGCATCACCACACATTTTCCCATATTATATTCCACCTGCTGAGTTTTTGTGATATCAAGGTGTAGAGCTGGATGAACACAGCAGGCCAAGCAGCATCAGAGGAGCAGGAAAGGTGACGTTTCGGATCCACACCCTTCTTCAGAAAATTGAGCCCATTGAGTCCACACCGACCCTCTGAAGACCATCCCAACCAGATCCACCCATCCATCCCTACCCTGTCTCCCTGCATTTCCCATAGCTAATCCACCTAGCTTGCATATCCCTGGATGCTATGGGCAATTTAGCACAGTGAATCCTCCCAACCTGCACATCTTTGGTCTGTGGGAGGAAACTGTAACACACCTGAGGGTAGAATTGAACGCTGGTCCCTAGTGCTGTGAGGCAGCTAACCTCTCAGCCACCCCGTCTCTTGAGTGCAATGCCCCTAGTAATTAATGGGGCTTGGTTAGCTAGACATTGCCAACAGTGTGGGTTCTAATCCTACACTCATGTGATTATCATGAAGGGCTCTTCTTCCCAACCTCAGCCCTCACCTGAGGCATCGTGACCCTCAGGTTAAATCTCTCTCTCTCTCTTCCCTTCTCTCTAATGGGAGAGCAGCTCTATGATCTAGTAGGACTATGATAACTACCTTTTATTCATAAAAAATGAAATTAATCATTTGCTCCATCACTAATTCAACCACCACATATTATGTTGCTCTTGGGAATGTGGGCATGACTGGAAAGTCCAGGATAAGTTGTCCATCCCTATTTGCCCTTGAACTGAGTGGCTTGTTTGGCCATTTCAGAGGGCAATTAAGAGTCAACTACATTGGGGTGAGTCTGGAGTCACATTGAATGCCAGCACTTCCTAAAGTGCAATCTGATTACAGCGTTACAACATTGGTACGGTGCAGAAGGAGGCTGTTCGGCCCTTCATACCTGCACTGACTCTCCAAGACTGCTTGTCTAGTATGGATGGCATAAAGGACATCAGTGAACCCAAGCGGCATTTAATTTCTCATTTTTATTGAATTTAAATTTTACCATTTGCCACGGTGGGTTCCGAACACTTGGCCCCAACCCCGCCGAGTATTAGCCCAGGAATTTGTTTTAACAGCTCAGTTACTCTGCCAGTCGCTTGACTTACTGTCTGTGGTGCAAGCAGAGGTGCCATCTGCCGGACAGAAACGGCTATCCACCCTTTTTTTGCCGAGTTGTAGATCATGTGGATCTGCCAGTGGTGCCCGGCAGGTGTAGCGGAACCGCTGTTCATGACGGGCTCCATTCTGACTGATGTTGACTGGCATCCAGGGCGTCCACGGTGTGTTTCTGCGTACCTCTGGGCAGGAGTCCACATTACAGGCCCTGTGCTCCTGTGGAGAGATGGACACAGAGAGAGTGCGAGAGAGAGAGAGAGATCAATGGGGTATTGGTAAATCATCAAAGATTTGAACCTTCTGCTTCCATGCCAACACCACGACGGCAACAATGATAAATTCTGTTTCTGGTGGCACAAAGCACAGGTTTGTCTCGAAGGAAGTGAATTGTACAATGGTGGAACAGTCCCTGTGGAGGGTTTCTGGCTTATTGCCTTTGTGCCAGTCCTTTTGAAGTGCAGTCCAGCTACAGAATCAAAGAACTGACACAGTGTAGAAGGAAGATATTCGGTCCAGCATGTCTGCACTGGCTCTCCAAATGTGCATGATGACATTGAACATAGTGCCATTGTCCTGCCCATAATCCTGCATATTATTTCTCTTCAAGCAAGTCATCTAATATGCTGTTGAATGTCTTGATTGAACCTACTTCCACCACAATTTCCAGACAGCACATTCCAGAACAACTCGCTGTGAGAAAAAAAGCTTGCTTTACATATTGCATTTGATTCTTTTGTAAATCACTTTCATGCTGTGCTCTGTCTCTCTCATTCACCATCCTTCCACAAGGAACAGTTTCCCCCCATATGTTATGTGCAGACCCCTTGTGATTTTGAAACTCAATCAAATCTCCTCTGAGCCTTCCATGAGGAAGACAGTACCAACTTCTCTGAGCTATCTTTGTAACTGAAGTTTCTCATCCCTGGAAACATTATTGTCAACCTCTTCTGTCGTCTCTCCAATGCGTTCACGTCCTTCCTAAAGTGTGGTGCCCTGGATCGTACACAATAGTCACAGAGTCATAGATCAGGTGAGATCTAACAAGTGTCTTCTTCAAAGTTGGCATCACCTCCTTGCTTTTATATTCTATGTCTCTATTAGAGTCTACCCAAGATACTGCATGCTTTATTCATTGCTCCCTCCACTGATCCTATCTCTTATAATGATTCATGCACGTACACACCCAGTCCTTCTGCTCCTGCAACTCCTTAAAATTGTAGAGACAACACAATGTGGAGCTGGAGGAACACAGCAGGTCAGGCAACATCAGAGGAGCAGGAAAGTTCACATTTCGGGAGAAGTGTCCCGACTTTCCTGCTCCTCTGATGCTGCCTGGCCTGCTGTGTTCCTCCAGCTCCACATTGTGTTGTCTCTGACCCCAGCATCTGCAGTTCTTGCTGTCTCCCTAAAATTGTATCCCTTATTTTGTACTCTCCATGTGCTTTCTACCAAAATGAAACACCTCACACTTCTCTTCACCGAATTTCATCCTCCACCTATCTACTCACTCCACCAACTTGTCTATATCCTTTTGAAAATCTGCACTGTCCCTCTCACAGCTTACAATCAGCTGCAAACGTTGAAACTGTTCCTTGCACGTTGAAATCTACATCAATAATGCACATCAGGAAAAACAAAGGTCCCAAACACTGATCCTTAGGGAACTCCAAATCTTTTAAACTTCCTCCAACTTGAAAAAATATTGATTAACAAGTAAAAAACTGAAAAAGAAATGCAGATACTGGAAATCGGAAACAAAAACAGAAATTGCTGGAAAAGCTCAGCAGGTCTTGTATCCACACTGTTACTGTCCCCTGAATTCCATGAGCTGTAGGTTTCCTACAGGTTTGTTGTGTGTAACTGCATTAAGTTCTTTTTGGAAGTCCATATGCAACACATCAGCATTAATTTCATTAGCCCCCTCTGTTACCTCTTCAAAACCTCTAGCATGTTAGTTCAACAGAATTTTCTCTTAAGACATCCATGTTGGCTCTTCCAAACCAACCCACATTTTTTCTATGTGACTATTAATTCTGAAGAACTGTTCCCAGAAGCTACCCCACCTCTGAAATCAAACTGATTGACCTGTAGTTGCTAGATGTATCCTTACATGGTTTTATTGAACAAAGATCATAGAGTCATTTGGCACACAAACAGACCCTTCAGTCCAACTCTTCCATGCCAACCAGATATCCCAATCCAACCTAGTCTATAATACTCTATAAGGTATAAATGTTTATCATTTTCCAGGTCAGATGTCACACAACACCAGGTTATGGTCCAACAGGTTTATTTGAAATTATTTGAATTGTTCATCAGGTGAAGGAGCAGCGCTCCGAAAGCTTGTGATTTCAAATAAATCTGTTGGACTGTAACCTGGTGTCGTGTGAATTCTGACCTCGTCCACCCCATTCCAACACCGGCACCTCCACATCATATAATTCTCTAGTCCTTCGGCTCCTTCCCTGGGATTAGGCAAGTCTTAAAAGATCATTGACAGTGTTTCTGCAATTTCCATTCTCACTTCCTTCAACCTCAAGTGGATGTTTCTCACCTGGTCCTAGTTCTTGTCAGTTTTACGTATGGTCAGTGTTATCCAATACATCCTTCTTATTGATTTTGAACCCGTCTATTGACAATTTCTTCGTCAACCTGGGTACTATCTATGTTCTCGGTAAAGACAGATGCAAAGTTTTCATTTCTATGTGTAAATCCCCATTTTAGTCTCTAATTGACCCTACTCCTCCTTTTACCATCCTTTTTACTGTTGTCTCTGGATTTGTTTACAATACCTTTGCCTTTTGAGGGAATATACCTTGACCGGGCCTGAATCACTTCCTTTTTTTGAATGTAGCCAATTGTTCAGCTACTGTTTCTCCTGCCGATCTTTGGTTCCTGACTATCAATTGCCTATCAAGGAAGGATATGAGGGTTAGCAAGAACTGCCGATGCTGGAGTCAGAGTCGATACAGTATGGAGCTGGAGGAACACAGCAGGTCAGGCAGCGTCAGAGGACCAGGAAAGTCGATGTAAGGGTGTAAGCCTGAAACTGACTTTCCTACTCCTCTGATGCTGTATGACCTGCTGTGTTACTCCAGCTCCACACAGTATTGACAGGATATGAGGGTTGTTGAGAGAATGCAGAGGACATTATCAGGGTTATTCCAGGGATGAGAGATTGTAGCTTGGATCATAGGTTGGAGAAGCATAGGTTGCTCTCCTTGGAGACGTGAAGATTGAATGGAGAGTTGATGGAGGTGTACAAGGTTTTAACAGGTTTAGATAAGGCAGACAAAGCAAAGATGTTCCCATTAGCTGGTACTACAAGAGCCCAGATTTAAAGTTTCAACCAAGAGATGGAGGAGGGGATGTGAGGAAAAGGTTTTTCACCAAGCCAGCAGCAATTACCTGGAACATGCAGCTCATGAGAGGGCTGGAAGCGGAGCTGATGGATAATTCCGAAAGGAAACTGGATGGGAAATAAACTTGCAGAGCAATGGAATTAAAGCTGGGAAATGGGACTGACTGGATTAGGTCCTGGCATAACTCAATGGGCCAAATGGCCTTTCTCCTGTGCTGTACTTTGAAGGTTACTAATGAAGCCACGTTTACTGTCCCAACTGGCAGCGTGCGCAAAATCTTAGCCATGTGCTGCATACAGCAGTTAAAGGGTCAGACCATTCTGCCTGTGCGGTCTCTTAGAGTTATCTGTATCATACCATTCACAGAATTATAGTCCACAGAATTCAACCCATCAAGTCTGTACTACCTAAAACATATTATTATCAGCACTAGTCCCACTTTCCCACACTAGGCCCATTGCCTTGAATGTTATGATACTTTAAGTGTTCATCCAAGTACTTTTTAAAGGTTGTGATGTTACCTGCCTCAACTGCTCTCCCAAACAGAGCATTTCAGACACCCCACAATCCTCTGAGTGGAAAAGGTTTTTTTTTTCCTCAAATCCCCTCTAAACCTCCTGCCTTTCACTTTAAAATTATGCCCCCTTCTTATTGACCTTTTGATTAAGGGAAACAGCTGCTTTCAGTTCATCCAGTCCACGTCCCTCATAATCCTATACACCTCTATCAGGGCCCCGTCAACCTTTTCTGCTCTAAAGGAAACAAGCTGAGCTTATCCAGCTTCTCTTCCTAACTGAAATGCTCCATTCCAGGTAACATCTGGGTGACTGCACCCTCTCTAGTGCAATCACAACCTTCCTATAGTGTGGTGACCAGAAATGTACACAATATTTCAGCTGTGACCTACCCAGGGTTCTGTGCAGCGTTCTCCCTGTAAATATTTTTCTTTTTAATCCATATTAAATGCCACCATGAATTTATCTCCACCATCATCTCAGGGTGGCCGTGAGACTCTAGTTCTGTCTCCTGGTATCATAGAGTCATAGAGATGTACAGAACAGACCCTTCAGTCCAACTCATCCATGCCGACCAGATATCCTAAATTAATCTCGTCCCATTTGCCAGCACTTGGCCCATATCCCTCTAAACCCTTCCTATTCACATACCCATTCAGCTGCCTTTTAAATGTTGTAATCGTACCAGCCTCCACCAATTTCTCTGGCAGCTCATTTTGTACACGCATCACCCTCTGTGTGGTAGGGGAGATGATGGCCTAGTGGCATTATCACTGGACTGTTAATCCAGAGACCCAGATAATGTTCTGGGGACCCAGATAACATGCTGGGAACCCAGGTTTGAATCCCGCCACGGCAGATGATGGAATTTGAATTCAATAAATATCTGGAATTAAGAGTCTAATGATGACCGTGAATCCATTGTTGATTGTCAGAAAAACCCATCTGGTTCACTAATGTCCTTTAGGGAAGGAAACTGCCACCCTTACCTGGTCTGGCCTACATGTGACTCCAGACCACAGCAATGTGGTTTACTCTTAACTGCCCTGTGGGCAATTAGGGATGGGCAATAAATACTGCCTAGCCAGCGACGTCCTCATCCCGTGAATGAATAAAGGAAAAACCTTCTGTGTGAAAAAGTTGTCTCATGGGTCCCTTTTAAATTTTTCCCCTATCAACTTAAACCTAAGCCCTCTCGTCATCTTCAGGGATTTGATGGTTATCAGTCTTCATCAGGGTTGCGAGCTGTCCAGGTTGACCCTGGTGTCTCAAAGAATAAGGGATTAAATATCCAGGGCACAGCAATGAGCATAAAGTCAAGGGGGTCAATCATGGAAGC